CATTATAACGCCCCCATGGATGAAAGGGCGAGCATGTTTGATGTGATGGGGATTCGAACCCGCGACCCGCAGATTGCGAGTCGAGTGCCATAACCACCTGGCCATGCTGGGCCCCAATTATTTTGACATTTTATTATCTTTTTTTTCTTAGATATAATTACAAAATGTGAAAATCTTTGCAATTTAACTTAAGACTTTTGAAATGTTTGTTTTTACCAGACACAGCAAAATTGTGTTAGTTTCTGTTGAAAAATTATATAATTTTTCACTTTAAATCAAACATCCAACATCAAAAACATTTGAAAAAATAATGTTATTGATATTCTACAATATCATGCAGATATCATGGATATCATGCAGAATAATAAGAATCTATCTGAAATACCTTTTTAGGTAAGGAAACTATATATTTTGGAAATGCTACTCACCTCTCTGCACCAAAAAAGAGCTAGAATCTCACACTGAAGATGGTAAAGGGCCAATAAAGAAAAATTACAAAGATGAGTTCTTTTCTAAAAACAACATCAGAAAGGGAAAGCTCATAAAGTGTACCATCAACGAGATGGGGAGTAGTCTAGCTGGGCAGTAATCAGTAATAAACTGTATCCATCTCAATCAGGGAATAACAGTTGACCAATAAATTAGTACATCAAAATTTACTGTCATAAGAATTGTTTGCTGGGTGTTACTGTGTCACTAATATGGGTGAAATGACAGATTGCTCAACCACTCATTATCTCACAAATGGACAACTGAGCATGACTGTTTTGTGTACCTAGGGACAAAAATCAAGTCATTCTATACTGGAGAACTATTTACATGATGATAGAATGCCCATAATGGAACCAAATCCACTGAAACCACCCAAGAATGAAGAAACCACTCTATGAGAATGGTCTGGGCTGCCTGAGTGGCTGAAACATAATAGATAATCAACTAAACATGTAGTTCTGTCATCAAAAACTCCATTTCACAAAGAAAAAAATTAAAATGACCCTGCCTTGCATACGAAATGCAAATTAACCCCAAGTGAATGAAATACAGGGTGGGGTTGGTTGAGACTAAAATGAAGAGCTGAACCAACCACCCTAAATGTGACAACTCCCAAAGGAATATGGAGGTTGTAAAAAAGAAACCAAACTGGAACGGACAAATACAGGAAAAACATTCATGCAGTAGCGGAGCAATAGGCCTCTAGAATATAACCTCTAGGTTAAAAACACACTAAACCCAATGAAAAAGATAAGGCCATAGCCAACTAGAAAGGAAGGACTGAGAACCAAATGCTTGACCATTACGGACAAACCAAAGAAAGCTAAAGGCAGGCTGATAAATCAAGATGCAGAGGAAGATGTCTGAGATACTTAATTTGGTCACCCACTACCAGGAAAAGTATCCAAAGTGAGAAAACTGCCCACCCGAAACTGTGGAAAGATCAAAGAGAAGCAAAGACAGGTGCAAAAACAAAACCGGGGCAGTTACAGCTGAAGTAACAGAATTAGGAGGTCAGGAATCCTGGGTCCAAGATCAGAATAGAACCAACCATGTGGTACACAATGGTGGTAATATTATTGACCATCAATGTCTCTAAAGGCCACGACAGCATTGAATGACTCCTATTAAGGAGTGTTAAAAACTCGAGAAGCTTCAGAACGTGAAAACATGTATGCATAATCCAGTTAAACCATAAAACTGAAGCTATGGTGGTCCATTTTTTGTATATTATCAGTTAGACTGAAAATGAGCCTGGTATGCCAATGGTGCATAGACCACATGATGAACTTGAAGGGCACTGGACAAAACCTACATGTTGGATTAATCAATAGGAACAGACAATGAGACGTGTCTCCAAAACTACAAAGTTAATTATATTAAAATCAAAGATAATTCAATGAAAGTTTTAACTGATAAGTTTAAAATTTAGTATTGTTCTTTCACATAATCAAGAAAAGTATGAAAAGAAAGACTACACAATACTAACAAAATGTTAAAACAGTAAGTACATAAATTCCAGTAAATCTTATGTAAAAAAACATGTTTAAAAGACAAGCAGTGCTAAAGAAAGAAATGAGCCTGTACTCATAGGAATTACTGTACAAAGAGGATGTGTCGCCCTATTATTGGTGGAGGGCTTTTGTCTAATAATGATTAAATCATAGACTGACACAATACGTGTTGATACATGTAGGAATGACAGCTTCATTCAAGACTTGTGGCATGCACAGGAATTTACACAGTTGTGTGTGCAAGGTAATTGCTTTTTCTGGTGCAGAGAGGTGAGTAGCTTTTCTGAACATTTTATTTCTTATTAACATGAATACTCTAACAGTTAATTGCATATAAAGTGCTACTGTCTGGGCAGACTAAACTAAAAATAAGCCATCAAACATATAGATCTGGTATTCAATTTCTACCATGTTCATTAACAGTTTTAAACACTTTTCAGAGAGATGACTGCTTCTAAAGGATTTTCAAAAACCATAAATACACACAATTATATACATGAACATAGAATATATACATACAAAGAGAAGTGGGGGTAATGATAAACCACTCCTCACCTTAGGGCTCTCATTTAGCCAAGAATATTCCTCAGGATTTTCCAAAAATTTGTCTCTCTGCTCTTTAGAGTTAAAGAAGTACAGAAAACCTTGATATGTAGCTCTAAACTCTGACTCTCCTTGGCATAAAACAAACTTCTCCCTCAGTGTAACAGGACAGAATAGTTTGGTAGGACCAAGTGATGCCATCTGAGCATCCTATATTAAAGGTAATATATAACACTCTTTGAAATCATATTCTGAAAAGAAATACTACTGTATACTTTAATATTTATAATAATATTGTGCACACACAATTTTATTCATGCTACTTCTTAAAATTATTAAAAAACAGGACTAACAAAAAACAGGAGAAAATATAATTATTTTCACTAAAATAAACCATGTTAATATCATTATTAAAAAAAAGATGTGAACCTGATAAATGGTGAACTTAAAACATTCCTAGACACAGACAAGAAATAACGAATTATACAGAGTTAGGAGCTTATCTAATTAGTAATTTTATAAAATAGTAGGTCTAGGCCAGTTGTTCCCAATTGCCTGGTCTGTGGTTCAGTGCAAGTCCACGGCCATGTTTTTGTGTTCTGCATAAATATCCAGTGCAAAAAAGAAAGAGAAGAGCCTTATGAAAGATTTGATTTTTGTGATAATTATAATTTGTAGGTTGTTAGGAAAAAGTGAAAAGTGTTGTTTCCCTTCTTAGTTAATTGTAAAATAAGTGAGCCTCATAACTTTCACTTCAAAGTTTCTTGAAAAAATCGAATTAATTAAGAAATAAAATTGCAAGCCTATGTACACAGAAAGAAAAATTTTGGGAATCACTGATCTATGTAGTATAGCAATACATTAATACAAGAGGTTCACATAAAAAAAAACTTCTTATAACTTACTATTTGCCAATACAGGTTTATCTCTATGAAATGTTGTAGTTTTTACCTTGTTTTTCAATCCTTTCTCACAACACACAATGTATGCTGTCATTAAATGCATCTAACATTTTATTAAAAACTTGGCTAATCAAAACACTAAGCATTTTGCTTGCTCCTTCACCTTAAAATGATAAGGGTTGAATCTGCAGTTTCTGATCAGCTCATAACAAGTCTACCCTTTACTATTTATCAAAGCTATATTGAACATCCAGTACTCAAGACATCAATATATATTTACATTTTCTTCCAGTATTAAAAAACAAAAACATTTCTCTTCCATAAACGTTTAAATTTATTCTGTGTTTCAGAAGTTAAATCTTTTCCACAAATTAACATTTATTTGCACTAACTTCAATGAAACAAACATATTCATAACCATATAACAGAGCAGCCTGTCTTCAAATTCAACAATAAAATGTTACCATAAACACTGTTTCAGTGGTTTTTAAACAGTTCATCCATGTGTAAACAAACAAACTTACAGTCAAGGAGATACCACCATCATCATCACAGCTAGAATCTTCTAAGTTTTCATCTTCAGCTCCAACCACCTTAGCTTTGTACTCAAAGGTTTCTGCACACAAAAACAATAAGTGCAAAGTTACTATGTGACATGCAGCACAGTTTATGTGTACAAAGTTACCATCTATGTGGCATACAACACAGTTTATATGTACAAAGTTACCATCTATGTGGCATACAACACAGTTTATATGTACAAAGTTACCATCTATGTGGCATACAACACAGTTTATATGTACAAAGTTACCATCTATGTGGCATACAACACAGTTTATATGTACAAAGTTACTATGTGACATGCAGCACAGTTTATGTGTACAAAGTTACCATCTATGTGGCATACAACACAGTTTATATGTACAAAGTTACCATCTATGTGGCATACAACACAGTTTATATGTACAAAGTTACTATGTGACATGCAGCACAGTTTATGTGTACAAAGTTACCATCTATGTGGCATACAACACAGTTTATATGTACAAAGTTACTGTCTACGTAGCATACAACAGTTTTTATGTACAAGTGTACATATTTTTTATTGACATAAGAAAAAAATTGAATTAGTACACTATGAAGCCTTTTCTGTGAACAGCTTATCATTGTCAATCTAATGAATCATAAAAACTTCACAACCAAAGCTACAAATTTAATAAATGAAAAACAAAAAAATCATAAGTACAAATTCATGATTGATTTGAAAATATTTGAAAAATTTTGTTTTGCCAAAACCATCCAAGTAGACCTTCTAAGTGCTTATCAATAATTTATCAGCAAAACATGATTTTAGATAGTGAAACTACAGAGACTATGAAACTAACTAGAAATTTGCACCTACTACACTACACATTTTTTAATACAATACAACTCTTTCTTACTTTTACACTGAACAATATCTACTGATGTGGCTTACTGGCTGCTAAAATTGTAGCAAAAAATATATTAGGTCTCGTCAGAGCTGTGATGATCAAATGTATGACAGGCTATACTGAAGTACTGTTACAGCAAACTGACTATTCAACTTAATAAATAATGTAATTAATAAACATTGCCTATAACATTCTTAAGCAGACTAAAATATGTATACTAATATATCAAGGTAAAATTATAAATGCGGGCATTTGGACACATTCTATATCACCCAAGGTTTTCGAAACTGAAAAATATAGAATATATAATTTTGCTTAACACTGTTTTAATAGTTTCCACCAGATCAATGCTCCAGATACACAGAGTAACACTGAAAATGAAGGGAAATTAGTGGTCTTCTCTTGAATTACTTAGCTAATCCAAGGAAACTATTTCACCAATTGAACTTTTCTCAAAAGTTTAAGACCTGAGAAACTATATTGGTACTATGAATTATTTTGAAAACATTCATACTATTTAACTTGTTTAATAACAAGAGATACTGGGTAAAACATTGAAAATATTTGCATTCTTTAGTTTGTTAGGTCCCATATAACACTGGACATTATTTCAATCACCAATCTAAATATTAAAATATAGCAAATTATGGAAATTATACACAAAAGTGCTTAGTTGTGCTTACCAAAAATGGCTCATTGGACACTCACCTCATATGAAGACTTGACTGTTACAATTATAAGTACTCTGTGTGTGTGTGTGTGTTACTTTTATCACTTTTTGATACATTTTTCAATAACCAACCTAAATACCAGTTATCACTTCTATTATTTAATAAACATTCAAACTTTTCTTCTGGGCTTAAACTTTACGTTAATAGATCACATTTATTGAAAGGAAAATAACACAAGCCAAAAAATCCCCTAACCAAGTGTTTTCAGTACTACCTAATAAAATATTACATATGAGGATTCAATAATCAGACAGACATGTACATTCAGCATATGTATATAAAGCTTAACGATACTACCTTCCAGGTCACTATACTTTGCACAGAGGATGTGTATATTAAAATGATTTTGGAGCCTCACAATGTCATTACAGTCTATGTTGCCACATAAAGTAATGCTTTAACTGATGACCATTTATCTTGACAATAGTCTCGTAGCATAGTTTTCACTGCCAAAAAATGTGTCATAAGGTGTCATGTTCAAGGCACACTACTACTCCCTATTCGATTTCCACAATCCAACTAGTGTACAAGGATGGTAGATTCCCAGGAGCTGTTTCAACAGTCCAATCACACAGAAATCCATAGGCACTGCATCTTGTGACTTAACAAGTATGTCTGCATATAGAATAACACAAACACCACTTTCATTCTCCACCTACTTGAGGTTTGAGATGGTTGAATGTACCGTATGACTTGAAGCCTTGGTTCCAGATGAAGATCCTTCTTGATTATGTTGTGTACTGTTGTCTGGGGTATGTGGACAGCTTTTTCCACTGATCTTTATGTCCATAAATTCATTATAGGATGCTACACATTGTTTACCATAGCTGAGGTACAACTTGTTGGAGGTCTTTTTCTGGATGGTTCTGGTGCTCCAAGTTGATCCACATTCCCTGTTCTGAACACATCTTTATGATCGGAGTGTAAGAATATTTTGTGTTGGAAAGGACTGTTACATACCTTTCCCCAAAGTGATCAATTTTCAGTGGCACCACACTATCTAACAAAAACAAAATAATGTCAAAATGTAAATCTGAGATATGCTGTTCCATTATGAATTTTTGTCAGCTGTGGTCGTCACGTAAGTGGAATATGTAAAGTTGTTTTAATGTAACATATTCAGCCTTCTGTAATAACATTATTGAATGTTTTACTTCCAAACTATACAACAATGAAAAAGTGGATTAACACTCTCTTCAACTGGCATTATAGGCTATGTTCCCCACAAGCACTTCTATTGCAGTGCTAAAACATCTGCAGAGAAAGCACAGAACAAAATAAATACATTGCTCATTCTCCTTTAAAAAAGAGTAATGTTTAAGTGTATTCTGTATAAAGTATAATACTACAATAATCTGGTTTACCATAAGAATCTGATAAAACCTAGTTCTTTCAACAGATTGTCTACTTTCATCACAGATAAAGATAGAATGAAGACAAGTCTACCTGTCAAAAATAATGTAGTTTTGTTGGACTTTTTTAATCTGTGTTTTTTGCTATCATGGGTGTATCGTAAGGTATGTCAAAAATCAATAAAAGACTAATAGGTCAACATTAACAATAAAATATACTGAAATAGTAAAACTTTGTCCTAAATGCTTTGTTTTTAATCATTTTTTGAGTTCTTGAAATTTGAAAATGATAATATGATGTGTGTTGCATGCTTTTAACGGTGTTTGCTTACTATAATTGCTACTGTTTCCACCTTTACACTGCACTGTTATTGAAACATAGAAGTGGTAAATTGAGCTTAATATCAATGTTTGTTACAAAAAATATTTAACAAAATAGAAACATTTCAAAGAAATACATATTTTGGTAAAGTCTTTTGTGTATAGAGATTTGGGCAAATTTGACCATGGCACGTTGGAGAGCACAATTGTGTCAAAAAAATATTTTTTACCCTGAAGTTTAAGCATAACAGTTTCCAAGACAGTAACAGGATCTTTTCCAAAAACATCTATCTGCAGAGGCTCCAAACCCACATGTTCTAGTACTTCTGAAATGTTTTGGTATGCACTTTCAAACTGCTTAATGCGAGTTTGAAGCTTTCTCTCATCTTCAGAGCTCTTATCTAAAAAAAAGAAATTATGAATCAGAGAAACAAGGTCACAGTTTTCTGATGGAGCCAAAGAGTTTTCAACCAGTTTTAGTAGCTTTTCAGTAATAAGTGTACATTTTACACACTTTGACCAGTTTTATTTTATCCACAGTCACATGATTGAACCAGTTACCATATGACAAAGTATCATGATTTTCTGTTTATAATTTTAATTTATCAGAATTTGTAACTAGTTAACTTCAAAATTTTGTTTTAAATAAATATCTCTCACACTCGAGTTAGATTTTCATAATTCACCATAATGAATGCTGAGTCTGATTTATTCATAAATGCACAAATAAAGATTATTGACTAATTCCTATAAAACATGTAGAATTATAAACAGACTTTTCTCTATCTTAAAATACTTATATTTGCAAGGTTTTGGTCATCTTACCAAAGCCTTCATCAGACAACAATGTACTACAATATAAAATTTCATAAATAACACAATCATTGACAAATTCCAAAGAGTGGGGAAAACTGAAGCCATGCAAACATACACGAGAGTTCAAATCAAGCATGGCTTATTGTTCCATCACTTGATAAATTTGTGAACATACTACAAATCCTAAACATTTTCTCAGTTTCTTAATATTCATTAAGAAGCTCTAAATGTGTATTTATCTTTTTATTTCAAAATTTTCAGTTAAAAATATATACTTTCAATGCTTTTTTTATGGAAATTTAGAAAAAAAGTCTAATTTTAAATTTCAATAATGACAAACTCTGGTCAAAAATTTCTCTAATTTTTAATCAGTTTTATTTTCTGAATCTAAGACTAATTTCCAATCAAGTATTCAAAATCTTTCTTTCCTCCTCAGTAAATTTAAATCTATTAAGCTAAGAGATGAAAATATTGTCATGCCAATACTAGTGTTAACAATAATTTTGAAATTTTTGTGTGTGTATGGAAAAATAGTCTTACTTAATTTTTTTTATAAACTTATGTAGTTTTTACAATAACCTTCAGACATATTGTAAGTACCAAGATAAATGTGGCAGCTATATAATATAATCAAGTAATAAAGGATGAATTAACAAAATAAAATTTTTGCAGTACACAAGTTTAAATACTAGTTTAATGCAGTGGCTCCCAAACTCTTTTACTCTGAGACTCCCCAACCTATAAAAATGGCTTAAAATGTGATTTTAAGATGTACTCCCTCCAATTACTTTAGCATGGTGATTGAAAAACAGTGCTGTAGTAAAAACAATAACATTTCCTTTCAACATACTGTGTCATTTAATTAATTCAACATAATTTTTATTGGCTTACTGTTTATTTAGAATTAAAATTAATTCAGCATCTTTGTTTTCGGCCCATTTTTGGCAGCCCCTCAGAAAAAGCTTCACAGCCCCTCTGGGGCCCGTGGCTCCCACTCTGGGAAACACTGCTTTAATGCCCTAACAGAAAGACTCTGCAACAACTAGTTTGATCACTAACCAAATTTCTAGTACATACATACTCAACAACACAGTGTTTATGAAACATAAGCACTACAGATTAATTGTCATGGTACAAAAGTTTATCAGGTAAATTAGTGTTAAAAGATATGTAAAAAAAACTTAAGTTGGCACAAAAAATAAGTGATAGGTATTGCTGACAAAGGTTTTCTTGATTTTCAAGTAAGTACATCACTACACGATTAGCCCCTGTAACTACTGCGCGAATGCCAAAAAAGATGCACTATAGCAAGAAAATAATACTTTTCCTTCTTCTCCAGTAAATCTATGTTTCTCTGTTAGTTTCTCTGGCAAGCTCTTCTCCTTCAGTATGTTTTATTGAGAATTTTTCACATGTAAAAGGTTTCAAGTAGTATTTCCATATATGCATATACACCCACTTTCTGTATTATACAATCTGGGATTTACACAGTGACAATGAATGAATGGGTAAATTTAAGAACAGTATTTCATAATAAGCATTATCAGAATGTTAGATTTTAACTTATTAACTTATGGAAATAAATGGAGCAAAAAATCTTTAGCTATTAATTTCTTATTGGGAATTAAGTACATACATCTCTTGAGTTGTTTAGTTTACATTAACTTTGAACCAGTGGTACTAGTAAGTATCAGACACGAGAGTCCATATGAATACAAGCTTACCATTTTCTTTTGACCAGAAAGACAAAAATGCAGTGTAATTTTCACTTGTGTCCTCCAGACAAATTACCTTGAAAGGTAGTACGTCTAGTTCGTTCAACAGATTCCAGAACTCTATATCCTCTGGCAAATTGTCAACCACCCAACCACCGACTCTACACAGTGAGTTTATATAATCTATTATTAAGTGAAAGAATATATTATATGATACATGTATTTGTTGTTGCATATTTATTCTCCCAAAGTGCACTATTTCAGTTTTTTATAGGAGTGAAATTTTTACAATAAAGTGTTGGTATTCATATGTGCATAGAACAAAGGATTTTGCTCACATGTGAAATTCATAATATAATTTACTAAAAAAAAGAAGAAAATGCATACAACCATTGTTTTGATGATTTCAAAAAAAAATAAATATAAATTAAACAGGCAACTAAATTTAAAATTAGCTAATTGTAAGCTTACTGCAGATATCCTACTTTTTATGCTTTCCATTCCACTGAATGACAAAAAGACATTATACACATTAATATCAGGGGCAGGTACCAAACACAGTGCATCAGCTAATAAAATGCTTCATTTTGACTTACCATTACTGACTGTTTGTTTGTTTTGATAAATTTCATGCCAAGCTACTTAAGAGCTATCTGCACTAGCTGTCCCAGACTAGAAGGACAGCAACTAGTCAACACCATCCACCGCCAACTATAGGGCTACTTTTGTATCAATGGAAAGTGGGATTGACTGTCACATTATAATGCTCTTATAGCTGAAAGGGCAAGCATGTTTAATAATGAAAATCAAAATTGCGGCCCACAGATTGCAAGTCAATTGCCCTAACCACCAGGCCATACCAGGCCTACAGAGTTATTGACCAATCATACAAATCACACAACTTAGGTGAGACTTTCCTAATTGGTTTGATAATTATTGAGATCAAAAATGCTAAATAATTTCTCTGCATGATCTTTCCAACAAGAATTAATGTTGTTAGATCATTTATTGGTTCATTTAAAGAATATTTAATGACTGTTTATATTCTGTGTCATTACACGTGGGTTATATGAAAAGCAGATCAAATACGTCCCAGTACTGAGTACCAGCATTAAAATAAGTCCAGGTACTGATTACCAGTCATAACTGGCAGAATTTTACCCCTGGTTTTATATATCATAGTTTTTACTTCTATACAAAACATTAACAGCAAAACACACAATGATTTATCAGTGCAAATTATGAGATGGCAACAAATTTGAACTGTAACAGACTGTTAAAAACTTGGATCTCTTATGGGATCTGTAATTATGATGGAGAATTTGGGATGATGTTAGCATAACAGTGCTAAGAGAAAGGAGCAGTGGAAGATAACATTTTGGATGGCTTCTGTTACCCATCTTCAGATCTCTTTGTTGAAAGGAATTGGTACTGTTGTTATCAGATCTAACCAACAGTTCCTTACCAACCAGAGATACTATATGAAGAAAGTCAAGTTTTCAACAAGTTATTGCAATTATTATGTACCGTATTCTTATTACCAAATTAAATCCTCTAGCAAAAACTAATACATAAACAAGAAAGTATGGACAGTATTTAGATCATTCCTACATAACAGCACAGACACACAGTGTAGTAGAATGTTAACAGACAAAAATAGGATAAACTCAATTGTGATTGAATAGTTATATATATATATATATATATATATATTGCTATATGTTAATTCTTGCCTGCGCTATTATGTAGGGATGATGAAAATGCCTTTCCTACTGTCTTATTCGCATCATTTTTGAAGGATTAATATTGGGCATCCCTACATTTACTTCCTTTTTTTAACTTTTTCTTTACTTTTTTGCTTGTTTTGTTTTAATGCAATAGACATAGGAAGGGTGTATTTATAACCAAGTTCTAAATACAATAATGTTGCAACTGTAATATTTATTGTTTTTATAGTATTGACTGGTAACTTCTGTTTCACCCTGTACTTAAGCTTTTTAAAGGAACACCAAATTTCTGTAAGAAAGTTAATTCTAAGGGGTAATGATAACATCGTTTACACCAGAATTATGATTTTTATTTTAATTACTATTAGTTTATAATACTCCGTTTGAAACTATGTCACCTCAGTGAATTTGGTTGACACCATTGATTTGGTTTCTGAGTTATCATGTAATAAACAAGAAGCAGAAGAACAAGAAATTCAAACTTTTTGCTATGATATTTGCATGCGTTCCTAGAATTTGTGCCTCATTCATTACATAGATATTGTTATAAAAGGAAACACTGTTTAGTATTGTAAAGTCCTGATGACCTATTGAGGAAATATTTAAACTATTTTGATGAACAATAGGAGCCATCCGTACATAGGCAGTGCTACCATCTGCCTGATACTTTACTTAGAATACCTGTTATGATATTTTTTTAATTCCTACAACTGTAATCATATAAAAAACAAAGACTGAAAAACATTATTTATAGCAATTAAGAAACTATGACTTATCATCATCATTTACTGGCACCTGTAATTATAAGAAAAAATATCTTATTTGTTTACCTTTCAAAAAATCCATTATTAAACAATCCATTCCTTTCAGCTACCGTTATTTCATACTGAAGAGCTGATAAAACATCTGAGAAATCAATATCTTCCACTTGGAAATCTGGGTCTTGTCTGACATCTTCAGTGTCAGCATCAGTTTCCAGCACTGTGAATCAACAAATAAGTATACCATAGAGAACAGTTCCAGATTGGGATAACACCACAAAACTTCTAGACAATCCTGATAGGTAAACACAACTATTTATCTTAAGAATAACAAAATGGCACAAACTAGGTGTGATTATTGAAAATGTTCTACCAAAAACAACTATAAAACATATGTATGCTTCTTTAGATAATCATAGCATTTTAGACAGTGCCATTTTTCATGAAGGGTTCTTCAGAAAAGTTCTGGTCAGTTTTTTTTGTTCAATAATACAGCTTATGAGCCTGGATGGGTTGTAACATAGAAAGCTCTTTAATGCAGTCTTTCCAAGCTACGTGCCATGGAATTTTTGCAATTATTAAGTAATTTTCATTTAGTAATGTAAATTTATTATTAATTTAATAAATTGTTACAATTTCAAATTTGATTTATTTTCTCCTTCATACACTGTATAACAGCAATTTCTGGCTGTCTTAGTCAGTGGGGTGCCACTAGGCACCCCCAGTGGCACAGCAGTATGTCTGAGGACTTACAGTGCTAGAAACCAGGTTTCGATACCCGCGGTGGGCAGAGCACAGATAGCCCATTGTGTAGCTTTGTGCATAAATTCAAACAAACAGACAAGCCACTAGGCCTGCCATATGAACTTATTTACACATGGCACAAAAAATTTGGGAAATTAGAAGTGTGCCGCAAGCTGAAGAAGTTTGGGAAACACTAGTTTAATGAATAATTATTTTTATCAGTCATTTTATGTGACAAGAAGTTTTATGTATACACCTATAGTGACAAATCATCATCTATTAATGAATAACAGGTGTGACATCATAATACGACAACTAATAATTTTAATCTCATCGTACTTGTTATTACTCCTATTGTACTGTAATATCACACCTATTACCATTAAATTACCACATCTCATAATTTACTACTATTACAAAAAATGTAATCCACAATAATTACAATACATTACCATCTTTTTCGTCCCTATTAACAACATCCTCATTACTCTCTGAAGTAAAATCTTTTTTTCTATTTTTTTCAGCCACAATATCAGTCACCATAGTTTCCACATTGATAACCTGTTAGAAAACTAAAATTTCATTATCAAAGTAGAACAATGTAGAAACAAATTATTTTAGCAATAATAATGTTGTAGGAGAATAGAATATCTTAATTCTTTATGTGTCAAAGTAAACAGAAGTCTACAAGAATGTAGTAATCTGAATTAGTATGTAAATTTTCATCTTGAAAAAAACTGGCTATAGCACAGACAAAAATGGAATATTACAGACATAAAACTTACAACATTACTTGTTTCATTTGCATTCTATTCTGTTAAGCATAATGATATCTGATATAAATTACTTATATAAATTAATATATTCACGTTATTAAATATCAATCCTTCCAAAAAGAATAAAAATATAATTTATCCAATAGCATAAATAACTCCCTTATTAAACGATCAATAACATAATTGATAAAACTATAAAAATTGTTCATAATTAGGGTTATTTGACAGAAATTTTTCAAATTTAATTTTAAAAATAATACTGCTTATAAATTAACCCTCATATTACTGACTTGTTTAAATATTATTCACTATCAATATAGTACACATATCATATCATATTGAAAATTTCAGTTACTTTATGTTTCTATCTGTTAAAAACTCGAGAAGAAGAAGTGACCAAAAAAATGACAGATGTTATTCATTTTCTGTGAAAAACACATTAAAAAACAGCAGTAATTAGTGGGATTAATTAAAATATTGACAGCATTTGTGTGTATGTGTGACTTGTAAATTATTAGAGACCCTTTAACCAATAAAAAGTCAATTGATCTCCAAGAAATTTGGTACATAAATAATCAGTAATTCTAGGTTTAAAAAAAAAACTTCTGTCTTATAAACTTCTTTCTTTTTAATCAAACAATCTAAAAAGGATATGCATGTCTTAAAAACAATCTTGATTAATATTACCAGATTTTTCCCAATACAAATGTGCCAAAAGCTGATAAAATTAGATGTAAGTTTGAAAACCATAACAGACAAACAAATGTAGCTGAGAAAAATGATGTCTGGTTAAATATAGACATAAACAGGTAAAAGGTAAATATATAACTAACACATGCATGATCAAACAAATGATAGTATATGTATATATATTATTTATTTTATAAAACAGAAAGCTTCAAAAATGTATTCACACCTCAGCTCCAAATTTCTTGGCCAAAGAATGAGAAAGAGTACTACGACCAGAGCATGGTGGTCCAATAACAAATAATTTGCATGGAAACTGTGGGTTTGGAGGTAAAAGGAAAGGTCGAGGGTTGATGAGGAAAAGATTCAAGGCTTCTTCAGATGACAACAGGAAAATCTTATCAAGAAAACTGAGGAAAAGTTTTAAAATTTCTATATAATAAACAAACCATCCAAGTTATTCTACAACTATGAAACATGTAATATACTAAAATAACTCTTAAGTCGTTTTTCCTGTCCTGTGTGTACATGTAAAAGAAACTTTAAATATAACCAAAACAAAATTCAAAACACAAGCTTCAGATATCGATAAATCATATTTCCTGATCCATAAGATAAATAAAAATGAAAAACTGCAACACTTAACACAGAATTTAATACAACAGACATCTTTTGGTAAGTTTATATAGACAAAAAAAATTGGCAGTAAAACATCTAAAACAACTAAGGGCTTTAACACTAACAAAGATCGTATGTAAATCTCCCATATAAAAGTACTTTAAAATTATTTGTTTTAGTGACATTGATATATATCTTATAATGATACTATACATTTGTCCCTCGTTCATACTCCGTGAGATATGTATTTATTCCACATCACTAAAATTGCTTGAAACATATTGACGTATACTTTATTTATGTGATATACTTGTCCTTGATTATTACATTTTGTTATTGTTTAATCCTACATCAATAAAACTGCTTTAGTAGCATCAACCTATATCTTATATTTATATGATATACTTGTCCTTGATTATTATATTTTGTTATTGTTTAATCCTACATCAATAAAACTGCTTTAGTAGCATCAACCTATATCTTATATTTATGATATACTTGTCCTTGATTATTACATTTTGTTAATACCGTGTGTTCTCTTCTACACCACTAACTACACTACAAAAAATTTTAACAAATAAAACTGAAAGAAATAACTAAATGTAAACAAGAACTTATTGTACAAATTCAGAAAACAAATAGTAAAATTCCATATAAGGTTAACAGAAATTCAAATAAGCATATATTCATGAGAACAAAGTTGGTGTGACAGGGATTCGAACCCGCGACCCACAAATTGCGAGTCGAGCACCCTAACCACCTGGCCATGCCAGGCCTTGAATAAAAAACCAGAACTTAAAAACACACCCCAGATGGACAAAACAAAGGTAATGACAGGATGAAGAGGAGATGAGAAACTGTAGGTATTCCCCCAAAGCATCTACTGTCTTCTTCCATAGACCATGTGTCATAAGAACAAAACTTTTACTGGCATTCAAGCACATGTGCATGTCAATATTAGTTGATGAATTTCGCATTCATATTTTGACTGTTCATGACAAGTTCTTAGTGTCATAAGAACATAATTTTTACTGGCATTCAAGCACATGCGCATGTCAATATTAGTTGATGAATTTCGCATTCATATTTTGACTGTTCATGACAAGTTCTTAGTGTCATAAGAACATAATTTTTACTGGTATTCAAGCACACGTGCATCTTATTAAAACGGAACTATAAATAAGGCATGCTAATTAACAATTACAATTACCACAAGGAGGTTTACACAAGCAAACACAGAATGATCCTGCTGAATCTGCACACAAACAACTAATAAAACAACAAGACACTTACCCCACACCATAATCTCCTTTGCCTTGTTTAATTTTTCCTTGGCATAATGCTACAGGGCAGTATAATCCCCAACTAGAACAGTGCCATTCATGAGCTTGATCAACAGCTCCATTTTCCTTGAGTAGAATTAGAGTTTCCTCTGCATCAGCTTCTTCTGGAAATGGGCCTTGAGCAGCTTGGTTCCACAATTTACGAGGCACTGGAGGTCTTGTAGGTGACAGTGTGTCTAACCAGCTCATTAACAGCTGTTCTCAAAACAAAAAATATATATATACCCATAAAAACCTATTTACATGAAAAAATAGCCTGAAGTTTTCTCAATGTTAAAAGGACCCCCATGTCATGAATCTCAAAATCATAACCAATTTATATTATTACATTATGTGTAATAATATAATGTAATAATATAAATTTGTTATTATTATATTATATGTGGCAATATTAAAACAGACAAAAATAAAGGCACAAGAAAAAAAATAAGTGCTAGATTAGATAAAAATAACAAATTTTAAATTCATCAATCTAAATAGCATTGCACAAACTATGCCAAATTTTTCTTTACCACACTTTACTCTCATTTCAGTTTACTTTATATCTAAAAAAAACCTCCTAGATCATTTGCTTAGGTTTCAATGTATCCTGATTAAAACTACAGATATATAAATTTATATAAATCATTATGAAGGTATATGAGTATGCAATATTAAAAAACTAAACTGAAAGTTACCATTAATTTATCTAATTTCTCTTTCATGGTTTTCCTACAGAATCTTGAAACAAAGATAGATCTGCAAAAAATTATATTCCTAGTCAATTGCTAGTAGCTACTTTGACAGTTAAACACTGCCAAAGTGAGCTGTTTTTATTTAATTTTTTAAGTATTTTTTTATTTCTTAAACTAATGAGAAATTAATTATTAACTTTGCTTCATTTCACTCTTTGATCAAATAATGCTGGCTAATTTGTTAACTTTTGTAAAGTTAACTTGGCTGAATATATGAATACTTTATGGTGTTTTTCTTTTGTCTCTCAAAACAAATTAAACAATATTTCTAACTTCATTTTGAAACTCTGAATGGCCATAAATAATACCTATTTCAACAAAATTTGAGCTAACTTATCAACATGCTATCATCATGGTACCTATGTTAAACTTAACTGATCAGCTCTAAACTTTTGTTTGTTTCTTGTTGGTGCTGTTAAAGAGTTAGTTAAAACTTAGGTTTGGTTGTTGCTAATTGCAAAGCTACACAATGGGCTATCTATGCTCTGACCAGCACAATCGTAACCCAATTTTTAGTAAGCCTGCTGACTTACTGCTGAGCCACTAGTTGGCATAAACTTAGGTATTTAATATGCAATTAATCTTTTATGCTCATGTTATTTTTCAAAATATGCTCTTGACCATTATCAGACACAGAAATATTATTATTGCTAAAATTCATGCATTTTAGTATGCTATGCAAACAAAAAAATTTTCTACAGTTTAAAATAAACACACAAAACATAAATATTAATAAACTTTTCAAATGATAAAATTAAAATCTACATTAACAAATACACAATATGATCAAAATGATCCAACCTCAAACATTTAAGTTAATTGTAAAAGTTCACTAAAGTCCAAGCTCCCAATTCCCAAGCTTCTTGTTTTTATTAAACTGTCTGCACTTCCAAGACTATATGTTACTTCATAAGCTACACAAAATTTAAACCTGATAACCTCATAGCTTCTAAACCTAATACAAACCTTCATTCTTCCCTAAAAACAATTCTACATAAATACAGTAATTGTTTGCGACACAAACGTTACTCACTGCAAACATCTCCTCAGGATCCATATTCCCATCTATTTCAAGCACATACTGTTTATCGTGTTTGGTAATCATGTTCTGAAACAGGAAGAAATCTAACTTTCAGTCAGTTTTAGTTTTATGAACATTAAGAAGAAATTTACAATTCTTAATGAAATGGATAATACCACAAAAGACAAATCAGAAACAAATATGGCATGTATATAATACTTCAATAACAAAATCTTTGCATTATAACTGTAAAATAGTGCAACTGTGCTATTCACTGGATTAATGTGATGTTTAACATATACCATTATATACATTAGTTTTATTTTACTTTTCATAAAGCATTGTGAATTTTCCTCAGCACCATAGATGGATACTGTGCCATTCATTAACTGCTTGGTAGAATCATGTGTAGTATAAATTCCAAAGCAAGCAAGACCATATAATGCTTGGATTGCATAAATGCATAGAACTGCACACTAATGGGAAGTTATGCTTCTGCTACAGCAATGATATTACACATAAAACATAATATAGCTTAGATCTACTTTAAAGACTCATCCAATATTGCTAAGATGTATACCTAAGACACTTGCATTGTTTTATTGCTATTAATGCTAGTCTGGTTTTAGGCCTAAATAAAGTATAAAGTAAGTAATAATAATTATATATATATGTATAGTATTAACATTCTGTATATATCCAGCATTGATTCAAATCATAGTTGGACAATGGTTAGTTTAGCAATGAAGCAGAAATTAGCCAAGTCATCTATAAATTAAAAATAATACAAAAAATGAAATCCTGCATTTGCATTGATTTTGGGCCATAGAATCATGTCATGGTAAGAAAAGATCTTGAATTATGTTCAAAATACACTCCTCTTTATACTGCTTAAAAATTACAATGTTGTTTTATCTAGTATGAGATGGTTACTGCAATAAGTTTTGTGCCAAGCACATCTTTATCTTAATTTTTATGCACTCAATGTAATTTTTAGAAGCACTAGGCACACATTAATATACACCCTGCAAATGCTAAATTTTCAATTTTAGAGTACACTTCCAGAATGAAATGACATTTTTGAACTAATAATTGTTACTTTTATGTCAAGCCTTTTTCATACTTGAAAATAATAAATAAAAACAAATGTTCTTTAGTTTAATTTTACCTTTCTGGATGGCAAAAAGTATCACTTCAAATTTTAATTAATTAGATATGCAAAATTATAAACACTGAAATATATGTAAACATACTGGTTACTTGAATTTTACATCAAACGTGATTAGGTTTATATACACTTGGTGGTGGTACCCATTACGGAAGCAAAAATTGTATAAAGGTCGAAGTTAGAAAATGTTTTTCCTCCTTCTTTCTTTTGTTATTAAATCCCTAATGACCCCATTAGATGATAATTGCATACCCTACTTTGTCGAAAGTAATATTTGTGCCTTTAAATGAACAGCCAAAAGTCTATAAAAAAAAGTGGAAATAAATCTTATTTCATTGTGTTTTTATCCTCTTCTCAAGAAAAAGTTCTAAAAGCAAATAGCCCATGTACACCATTAGACAGTTTCAAGTTACCATAACAAAAATTATGATAATCAAACGAGCCAACTATTGATGATGCAAGCCAAAAGTCTATAAAGGGGCTTTTTTATCATCATTCTTGGGCAAAAATCCTAAAATAAAATAGCCCATGATCACTGTCAGTTTTCAGTTATCCCACCAAAATATACTTTAACAAAGTCAGCCAATTTTGAGTGATGGATGCTACCTCACATAATGGATTATCTTTACAATAACATATAGTCACATGAAAAGAAAAAACAATACCATAATACTCTGTAGGTTTTCCAGTTAAATTACCCATGTGGTGCAACCAAAAATTTAATATTACCATTAAAATTAAAAAGTCAGTATTTTAAAAATGAATATACTCATTGTTATATGTCTTACCTACCTCTATTTCATACAGAACCTTGTCATTAAACTCGTGTAATTCTGCTCTTACATTTTCTTCAAAATCTTCTGGTTGATGAACCAAGTCAGGAAAAGGGTTTACACATAAAGTTTTTACTTCTGATGAATCTAACTGTTAAAGATTATTTGATGTAGATATGGATATATAAAAGTGCAAAAAATGTGTATAAATGTAGTTATATATCAAAAAGTAACTTTTAAACATTCTCTACTTTAATAATTGGAATAAAAAATGCAATTTTACAATGACCCCACATAAATAACGTAGATAAACATTAAATTTAATGATGAGGAACCCACCTTGAGACTAATAATGCTTGGAGATGGCTTGAATGGGTAATGAAGAAAAACGTTAATATAAGTTTAACATAACAGCAAATGTACAACGTTTCGACAAGGTTTTGTCATCATCAGGTACAAAACCTTGTCGAAACGTTGT